GGGACCGGGGCGCGGGGCTCGGCGGAGCGGTGCGGACGGTGTCGGGCCAGCCCCGGATCGTGTGGGGCCCGTGCCCGGCACTGTCCCCCGCCACCACCGGAGCTCCCCCGGCACCGGACTGACCCTGCTCTTCCTGCAGCCCCCGAGCCGGCAGCGGAGACTCCAGCCCCGGTCCCGATCCCATCCCCAGCCCCAGCTCCATCCCCCCGGGCTGGCAGCGGGTGAGCAGCCGCCGGCGAGCGGGCAGGACGGCCGGGAGGATCGAYGTGTGCTTCATCAGGTGAGGRTGAGGGTGAGGGTGAGCCGGGGCTGGCACTGAGCTCTGCGTGACCTTTCTGTCAGGGTCACAGACAGCTGGGCAGGCATCGCCTTGACAGCTGTTCCTGTCCTTTGTTCTGGGGGTTTTTATATACTACTGAAGTATTTTTAAAGGGAAGAGCAGAAGAATGAGAAAGCCATTGCTAATTTACTTTCCTTTCCYATCACAGCCCTGAAGGGAAGAAGCTGAGGTCAAAACGAGCACTTGTGGAGTATTTACAGAAAACTGGGGAGACTACACTGAAAGCAGCAGATTTTGATTTTACAGCTCCTCGAAGAAGCACACGCTTAGSAATGAGGGCATGTGGCACAGGGGCYGCAAGGAGTGACCTGGAGAACRAAGATTGTCAGAGCAAAGTGCAGGAGCTTCAGGCACAGAATGGTGCTGAAGTTGGAATTCAGAWCATCCAGGCTGGAAATGGACACCTGGAAGATGTTACATCTACTTYCAAAAGCACAGATTTAGTAGTGGAAAGCACAAACCAAGAGGAGGGTTTGAAAACCAAAAAAAAGGGGTCAGGTGGGAAAAGTGTCCAAAGTAGGAAACCTAGGAAGAGCTCAGAAAGGAGGAACCAGGGTGACTCCAAGAGCAAGAGGCAGAGAAGAGTCTCTAGCACACGGGAGACTGAGTGTGTTGAGAACAAGAGGGTCTGTAGGCAGACACACACGAGTGGAGCTGACAGCCGGGGCGTGGGTGATCCTGTGCATGCAAAGAAAGCTCTGTCACACACATCCAGGGCACGGCTGAGCTCAGTGGCTGCTGGCTCTCAGAGRGAGCTGTGTCACCTGCCAGAGGAGGGGCCAGGCTCCAGTGACACACCTGCTGCAAGCTCTGAGCAGAAATCCTGTGGACTGGAGACAGGGACAGTGCCAGATCTGCGGGATCTGGGTGGGCAGGATGGCAAATCTGACACTGAGGCGGGTGCTGAGCCGTGGCACAGGATGAGCGTCACAGCAGTCACAAYGTCACCAGGTGCGTGTGTGTGAGAGCACAATGTGCTCCATCCTCACATTCTGCCAGAGCCTCTCCTGACTATTCAAGCCATGTGTTCTGCTTCAGCTCAAGCTGCTCTGACATCCAAATCTGTCTCATTTTTATCCAAATAACATTTAAATTGATTCAGACTTACTAAAAACTGAAATGTACTGTACCAAACCCTTATGCTGTACAGTGTCAGACAATGATCTGGAGAGGCCTTAAGGCACATTTGTGTTCTGTACATGAGAAGAATTCCTTCTGTTTCCATCACAGCCTAAAGTGGGAATGTGTGAAACATTACAGCAAAATACTTGGTTCTTCTTAATGCTGAAGTTTTATTTTTTACAGAAGAGTCTGTCCCACGAACACAAGTGGAGAGAAGGAAAACGAGTCCATATTTTTCCAGTAAATACAGCAAAGAAGGTATTGTATTCTTTAGGGAAATACATTTTTTATGGGGGAGGGATAGGATGGCTTAGGATCAAGTGATGGTGTGGAAAATTCCTTAGTTTGACTGTGGCTGCAGCTGTGCCAGTGAGCCACARTCCCCTGCAGCCCTGTAAAGGCTGTGTGGGAACTGCCGTGGCTCCATCTACATGCAGCACCTCCACAAAGATCAATCWGCTTCAGAGGCCTTCATCTGAATTATTTTTTTTAATTAAATAGGTAACTCCATCCTTTCCTGTCTAATAAACGTTCCTGTGTTGCCCCTGTACAGCCCCCAGCCCACCCAGAAGGAAGACCCTCAGAAAATGGACCCCTCCACGTTCTCCTTTCAATCTTGTCCAAGAAACCCTCTTCCATGATCCATGGAAGCTTCTCATTGCCACCATATTTCTCAATAAAACTTCAGGTAAGTAGARTAGCACAGGTTGGTGTGTAAATGTTGGGAAATGTTACAGGGCTGAAACAGCTGCCAGTTTTAATGGCATTAATGAAAGAATCAATGTATATTAATTTATTAAACAATAATCCTTAGCTGGCAGCTTACCATGGAAAAGCTCACTTAAGAAAGCATATGGATAGTAGAGAAGGAGAATTCCCATCCCAGCCTTCTGCTGACAGGATTGTTTCTCCAGGGAAAATGGCCATTCCAGTGCTCTGGGAGTTCCTGAAGAAGTACCCTTCCCCTGAGGTAGCCAGGGCTGCAGACTGGAAGGAGATGTCAGAGCTGCTCAGACCTCTTGGCCTCTACGAACTCAGAGCCAAAACTATCATCAAGTTCTCCGGTGGGTTTTCTTGGCATCTGGACAATCTTGGTTGCACTGGTAAAAGGCAAACAGCTTTGATCCAGAGGCTGCTCTGGTTTCTCCTGTGCATGGTGGGTTGGGGGTTATTCTGTGCAGCGTTTGGGATCTGTTGGTGTCACACAGGCAGTGCTGCTGATCCCAGTTTGAACTGGGAATGAAACGCCAGCCACGCTGTGTTCTGTGGGTGACCAGGAAAGTTCTTGGCATAGAGGAGACCCAAGCACCTGCAGCAGCACTGCTGTGTTTGCAGCACTGTTGTATGCAGCTCTGCTCAGGGTTGCTGTGGTGACCTGCAGAAGGCCCTTCCAGCTGGGATTTTTCTGATTCTGATATTCTCTATACTCAGAACCTGCAGAGGAATATTTTGTTCTGAGGAGAGAGAGTTGATTAAAACTTCCCCAGTGATTTGTTGAAGAGGTATTTAAGATTAACTCGTGGAGATTCATGGCCTGCATTCRCCAGGAAACACCTCAAGCTTGCATTTTTCATTTGAAATGTGCCAAAGTAAAGACCTGTAAGAGTGGCAGAGGCTCCTGCCCCATTGCTCGTGTCCATAGTGTGTGCAAGTGCTCAGTGCTGTGACCTGCCCTGCAGGTGAGTACCTGAGCAAGGCCTGGCGATACCCAATCGAGCTGCACGGCATTGGCAAGTATGGCAACGACTCCTACAGAATCTTCTGTGTCAACGAGTGGAAGGAGGTGGGTGGTGCCCTTCAGCAGCCATGGGGCTTGTACCTGCTGGCCTCTTGGCATTAGAAAACCAACACAATGTTGGAGCAATGGGATGYTTTAAGGTGTTTTAGTAATTGTTCAGTGTTTTCCCCGTGTCCCAGGTGCAGCCMCAGGACCACAAGTTGAACGTGTACCACACGTGGCTGTGGGAGAACAGGAAGAAGCTGAGCATCGACTGATCTGAGCTGGGGCTGAGCTGGCCCTGCCACCTCCCCTGAGCGCCCTTGCGGTTCTGGGTGTAAATATTTGTGTGATGTCCTGGGTGAGGTCATTGCTTATTTTTAAATAAACGTGTCACTGTTTTGTAGTGCCTGTCCCTTGTTGAGGTGGAGGTCTGTGCCCACAGCTGCCTCCCCGGGCTGGAGCTCGCTGGG